TTCCAATGTTTACACCTGTTTGGATAACTTTGTGGATTGAAATCATATCCTGTATTCATGCTGTATATGTCGGTGTCCTAGTGGTGTTCTTGATATAAATATTTCATGGTCTGGCAAGTTACGCCTTACTGTTTCTCGTCCGATCTGAGTTCAATACTACCATAACTACTTCTACTACTACTATTACCACTACTACTACTACTACTACTACTACTACTACTATTACTACTACCACTACTACTACTACTACTACTACTACTACTACTACTACTGCCACCACCACTACTATTACTACTACTACTACTACACTACTACTACTACTACTACTACTACCAACACCACCACCACAACTACTACCACCACTACCACTATTGCTTCTACTACTACTACTACTACTACTACCACCACCACCACTACCACTACCACTACTACTACTACTACTACTACTACTACTACTACTACTACTACTATTACTACCACCACCACCACTACTATTACTACTACTGCCACCACCACCACTACTATTACTACTACTACTACTACTACCACCACCACCACCACCACCACCACCACCACTACAACTACTACTACTACCACCAATACCACTACTATTACAACTACTACCACCACTACTACTTCTGCTACTACTACTATTACTACTACCACCACCACCACTACTACTACTACTACTACCAACACCACCACCACCACCACCACCACCACTACTACTACTACTGCTACTACTACTACCACCAACACCACTACTACCACCACCACCACCACTACTACTATAACTGCTACTATTACTACTACTACTACCACCACCACCACCACCACTACTACTACCACCACCACCACCACCACTACTACTACTACCACCACCACCACCACCACCACCACTACAACTACTATTACCACTACTACTACTACTACCACCAACACCATTACTATTACAACTACTACCACCACTACTACTTCTGCTACTACTACTATTACTACGTCACTGGCTAACATATCAAATGGTACATTCTGTGACCATTTAACAACATTTTCTGTATTAATTTCATGTTCATGTACCTCACTTCGGCAAATAAAACAAATTTGATTGGTATGGAAATGTTTATTATTAGTTTGTGACACCAGCGTAAAATATGATAGGAAGTACCGTGATTTACCCACACAATTTCATGTACCATTCAGTGTTTATGTACGTAACACGTGATAAAACACGTGGACGTAAACAGAATCACATTTGTATCTAGAAATGAGTCTGAATAATTCATTTGTCAGCTGTAAAAATTGTGTTGACGTTATCTTTCTTCGCATCTTGTAATGAAAAATTCAATTGAATTATTCTTTCCCATGCCTTCTAAAACACTGATTTCAGAATATTGTGACTGAGTTGCCCCCTTTCCCTCCCTTCCCTCTCCCCTCTTCCCACCTTCCTCACCTCCTCCTCTCGTCCCCTGATGCGTACAAAAGTTGTGACACTATAACATAATCCTTAAATGGGTATGAAAGACACAAGTATATAAAAGGTTACAATGCATTTGATGGCGTTACTTTGTATTAGTGTAAATTGGTCGATTTCGTTTGTCCGTCAAAGAAAGAAAGACAGGAAGGAAGGAAGGAACAAAGAAAGTAATAGAAAGAAATCAACAAATTAAAAAAAAAATCACTTTTCGACTTTAACCACATTTACTTCACGTTCAATAAACATCAATTTTTGTCAATAAATACCAATATTTGCTTTTCTTTTTTCTAAGGCCAAACACTGAATGTTACGGTATATAATTAAAATTTAATTATCATGCTGTTGTTAACAGTGGAAATTGTAATTACTTTAATAAGATATAATCGCTAAATTACAGCTCGTCATCTAATTAAGACATCGGATGAAAACAAGGAGAAGAAATACACAATACTATCTGGTGATCTTTCTTTATAAACATATCTATATTAGGATTTCAAAAACTTGAATAGATGTCTTGACAGTGAAGAGCAAAGTAAGAAGGACATTGCAGGTGGATTTTCGTGTCAATCTTAATTTCGCCAACATACAGATATAGGAGACAATTACGTCACGAAATGAGTCATTTGACCTCTGGTCCAATTTTTCAAAACACGAACATGAAAGTAAGCTTGAAAACCCTATGTGTAAACATTATTCTAAATCAGAATCGATGTAACGAGGCTAAAAATATTTACACAGAGACAGGATGTTAATTGATTAACACTTATAATTAGACAGACGATATGCCACTCTACTATACATATCAATGAGGTAAGGGAACTGGCCCCACTTGTATAAAACATCTCAATTTGAGATTTCCTCAAGTCGAGATTTTCCTCTGCTGATATCTCCTTGAAAATATCTTGTATGAAAATTCCTCAAGGAATTTCAGGACATCCTAGCCGATGCCTTCCTCCTGTTCCTTGAGAAAATTTTATATAAGCCGTTTTTCAGGAGATATCAGCTGAGGAAAATCTCGACTTGAGGAAATCTCAAGTTGAGATGTTTTATACAAGTGGGGCCTGGATTATTAACATGGAGTGTTAAGAATGCTAACCCCACAAGTCCTGGTGACTTGCTCTCTGTATCAGTCGCCTACATCGACATTTTCCTTGAATGAGACCAACAAGGTCAGCTTCCTAACAAACTGTATGATAACCGTGTTGGTTGTGATTTTCTATTGATTGTGGATTTTCTGTTTTTAGATGTTGCACTTGATTCCTGAGGGCCTGATCCCAACAGTCTGTTCCAAATATCAAAATGTCACAGAGATGTAGGTTAAGGATAGTGATTAAGGAAAAGTTTGATAGTCGTCATAATGATATCATTGGAAAATATTCTATTTCCTTGAGCCATATGAAGTTGTTTTGATGTTTATTAGTGTGCCTTGTTAATATCTGGGAACGTGAAATTAATGACTTGGATTGACAACAATTTACATGGCAGATATCGCCAATGAAACAGAAAATGCTTACATTTCTGGAACACCAGATTTTATCAAATTCGTATTAGATGTTTTTCTTTGCATTTTTTTTTCTGTAACCAGTGGTTTATTCTAACCATACTTATAGCAACTGGGGACTGGTCTTATTTTCCTTGTATTATGTCAATGTTTCCATGGAAGTCCTTTCCCCCCAAAATTTTGTCCCAGTTTCGTCGAATAAGACTTTAAACTGACATTCTGTTTCAATGTCGGTATTTTTGTTATTGATGGTTCATCGACAATATCTACCACACAAATTGATGTCATATTGAAGAAATACTTCGTTCTCTTTACGAGAACTACAGCAGTGACACTGGAACCACTCGTCATCCAAACGGAGGTGTCATACTTCATATCGTATAAAAGGTATCATTCCTTAAGATAATGAAATATCAACATAGCCATGCTATATTTGTACTGCTTAATTTCATTCTTTATTGAAAAAATGTAGACGGAAATAAAAATCATCAGGATAAAAATTACCAGCGTTGGTCTGTGAAGTGTGGGCGACTTAATGAAGTTTAATAGCTGTCACGTTTCTGTTGTACAATATATTGCTGTGTTAAGTATAAAATCTTAACATAAACATTAACACCGTTTTTTTCAACCCACTGCCTACGTAAATCTCCCGTCTACTAAAAATTCTTTGTTCAAAATCACAAGACCAATATTTTCTTTTCCGAATTTCAATCGCGGTTTGTAGAGTCTATGCTTAAGTTTGAATGTAAATAATTCATTAATCAATATTGATATTGCCCAATTTAATCGATAGATTGGAGTATTCTATCATGCCATAAAGTAGAGACTCAGTTTTGTAATGAATTGGGTTTCACTTCGTGACTCTCCATGGGTGAAAAGGCGAGTGATTCAGCGATAAAGTTTGCAAATAATCATGCGTACATGATATTTCACTACCAATGGTAATGTTCAAATCGGTTATAAGTCTGAATAGAAAGATAGATAAACCACAAACCTTTCTCAAACACATTTCTCATTACTACACAGATCTCATTTGTCGATAAGAAATTAAAGATGATGTTCATAAATATACATAACAACAATAACAAATTCGTATGTATCGCAGTTTTTAAACAATTGCAATGTTACCAGGACATAGTTTACCATAGTATTTTATCACTATACATGTCTACGACGAGTTAATCGTAGTGTCAACATAGAAATAGCATTTTCCCACTTACACGCACCCATACAATAATGTGCACTTTACACAGGTATTGTACGAACAGTGTAGGGACCGTAATAGGTGCATAGACGAACTTATCTACCAAGGTGTAACCATTATACATACCATTTACATCGTCGAACAGTTATAAAAATATTTTAAGACAGTGTTTAGAAAAAAAAATCTTTATTCTTATTTTCAGTTTAATGTTCTGTAAACAGAACAAATTATGTAAAGACGGGTTCCTGGGACTCTGCAGTTACAAAAAGTTGAGTGGATACAAAGCATTGAGGCCCAAGTTGTTTAAATAAGGAGTTAGACCAAAGAATTCTGATTCTGGTAAGGAGGTGTTATAATCTACTCTCATTCAATAGTATTCATGTTATCATAACTGCCTGCCATCGCATGGTAATGGTTATCGTATATTTGAAAAGTAGGAAATGCATTAATTTATCCGGTCAGTGCATCTCCTGATCTTGATGTTGACATTTCATTAGATCAATTTAGGATTTTCTCTTTCCTGGTTTCAAACTTAAGGTCATAATGATCAATGATGTGTCCTTGGACGAAACAGCTGTACGATGCATGCTGTACTCGACTTTCCTGTATGTTATTCGCATTGCATTTGCATTTAAAGATCCTTTCTTCTTGTGTCTTGTGGTGCTCAAAGACGCGAACAACAAACCAAAATCAAATTATTCAAGTCATTCATTGTCAAATTAATGCAAGTTCTGTAGTTATAAAATATACATCAATGTTGATATAAAAAAAATGCTGGACCTTAACAGTAAATATTAAGTGGTATTCATTTGTCTGCAATTCTATTCCTGATCAATGACGTTTTTCTTATTGTTATCCAAGTCACACTGTTCCTGACAAGTGTCCATTTCAAGCTCTGTCTCACAAGATTGGATGGCTGCCCAAATTTCCGCAAATAATGTCGTATATTTTAAGGACATGTGCTGATAAAGCTCCCTCGTTTCGCCACTAAAACACTTGTTATTCTGCAATAAATCTCTGACGAAATATTTGCATTCTTGTGTGCAAATATCAAAAGGTTTGCAAAATTTCTTGAGGTTCGTGGACAGGCTGATAAAGTCTGGATGAAATGGATTGAGGAGTGTTTTTACGTTGCAGTCATCTATCACTGGAAATTCTGTTGAAAAACTCAATATTTTACACAAGTCAACACTCTTCCAAGAGAAGCACGAGTTTTCCTGTACGTTTTCAGCTGGATACACGGATAAAAAAACGTAACACATTTCATCTCCAGTTCCATCTCCCTTGAAAGTCGTCTTGTCCCTACCCACCGAGCGGTATGTACATGTTGTCTTCAGATCATCCCCAGGTAAGATTTCTAAAGGAGGCGAATACCTAAAAAGCAAAATACATGTGTAAATATCAAATAGAACTTTTTACGTTTTGCTTTTTTATCAATCTTGATGTTTGGAATATTCATTTTGGATTTGTTATAAATACCTGGCCCATATGAAGTGATTTGTTTGTTTTGCAAAACAATAATATATAGAAGTATTTCAGGATTTGAATGACATCCGTTGCAAAGCCCACAACATAACATATTTGAATAATCACTGTCATTTTGCAGGAACTATTGGCAAAATCTAAAATCCAAAGCACCATGATGAGAGGCAAAACAAGACATTACTTACTCAAAGGGGCGATATGCGTCATACTCAAAACGTTCATCATTGGTTATATTTCTTATCCACACACCCTTTCTGTACTGCTGGAGTGATTGTTTTCGTCCTAAATAATAAGAAAAGAGATTACAGAATACATTTATAGATACATTATTTGTTAAATATTTTTTATTCCATAATTAGTTTTTACTCATTATCATTTTAGCTATTGTTTGTATTGTGTTATGCGACAGTATGTAGTTAGTTTCCATGGTGTAGACACATCAGCTTAAGTCGTCTCGAACCAAATCTATATCTATGATTTTTGCCTTATGACTTAAACATCTAGGTATATCCGATGTAGTGAAACGACGTGTACGTCCATTATTCGTATAGATAAATTAAAGGACATCGTGTTGAATAAAATAGACGGATAGGATAAGTAGATTTGTTACTTGTAGCATTTCGTAAATATGCTGAAAGGATAAAGAAGTTGAACTTTTTAATTGTAAAATATTTTGTATTTAATATACATAGCCTTATAAAGAGTAAGAGGAATATCAGGGCACTTTACATAATCCCCAATAAATGTTAAAAATCCGTCATTCTTGACAAAAAAACCTATCCACATCTATGCCCCTAAATTACCAATATACCGTGACTGTATAAATGTATGCGTTCTTCCATTCAAACTAGTGTTGATTTCTGATTTTCCCTAAGAAGCGTAGCCGCCAATACATTCGGAATCAATAATTGTTTTTGCAAATATGCCATGACTATCCCAACTTGATAGCGGACGGCCCCTTGCAATGCCCATAGGAGGTAGCACTCAACAGCAGATCGCTACTCACTTCGGAGTTCCCAAATCGGCTTGGTTAATTTTACGTCTAAACGCCATGGGAAGAGTTGAATACAGAGATTAAGACATCCACGTGTAAGGTTGCGATATTCATAACGGCTCATTAGGCCTGCGTGACAGGGGATTAACGGCAACCGAAATGACATGAAATACCATTGGGTAATGGAAACTGTCGAAACCACCCAAAAATGTGAGGAAGAGACTGCGAAACGCAGATCCTCAGGCCTCATGTTGTGTGTGTCATTATAAGGAACCATTTGACCTTTCAGCATGATAACTCAAGGCCTCACGTTACAAGAGTTTGTAGGTACTTTCTTGCAAACGAGAATATTGCCCATATTGACTGGCCTCCATAAAGCACCAATTTGTCCCCAATCGAACACTTCTGTGATGATTTAAACAGAAGAGTTCAAAATCGCAAACATTTCAAATAACCTCCGCAAATTGGCCAATGCACTTACCGTGGAATGGATCCTCTATGGACAGTTAATGTCCTTTTTTTACTTTACGCAGAATTAGAGACGCTCTAGCTTTTCGGGGAGGGAACACATCATATTAGGGATCGGTCTGTCAGCAGCCGTTATTTCAACTTTATGTACATTAGTGTACCATAACTAAGTCTAATGAAGTCCTCATTTATTATAAATCTCAGAAAATTTGAAGACGTATGGTCCAATATTCCAAGTTGCATTTTACATTTAGGCATATTACTCATAAATATAATTTCAATTTCTTCTTAGTAAATTTGGAGATGTGAAAAAAATAATTTGATCACAAGGGGATGGCCTAAGCATAGGTAATGATATTTAAAACACCTCTTGCGATTTATGCGTTTCCAATTTTTGTTGAATAGATACAATTCATATGATATTGATAGTTCAGATTGATCCTCATCCAAACTTTTTCATACGATCGTAATACCATTATTTATCCATGCTGAGAGTCATATTGTAATGTTTAAGTGTTCGTATTTGAGTTCCTGATCAACATCGATATAATTACAGCCATTTGTCTTTGTATATTAAAGAATCACATTTTTTCTATTTTTCAATAAATGTTGAAAAATGGAACATGATTTTGAATACTACTAGACGGTATGGGGGAAAACCTAACTTCTGACCAGTAGCCAAAATATGTTCTAATATAAGTGTATAAATATAATATGCCGTATGTTGCACATTATGAATTCAATTTCCGTTCTATGAACATTCCATTTCTCGACGTATGAATTCGAAAGAAAGTATACTTAAAATACACATGAGCTTAGGAGTCTCGAAAGATACAGGTCGGTGAAGTTATGGGTCATCATCATGCCTTCATCGGGTAAAAAGTCATTGTGATACATCAATTTCTTTGTGATACATATAGGTCTGTGTTATAGATAAAGAGTCTGTGTAATAAATAAAGCGCCGGTGTGATACATACAGAGTCTGTATGATATATAAAGCGTCCGTGTGTTACTTAAGGCGTCTATGTGTCACATAAAGCGTCTGTCTTACACATAAGGTGTCTTTGTGATACATAAAGCGTCTGTGTTACAAAAAAGCGTCTGTGTGATACATTAAGCGTCTGTGTTATAGTAAAGCGTCTGTGTGATACATCAAGTGTCAATGTGTTACATAAAGCGTCTGTGTGATACATAAAGCGTCTGTGTTATAGTAAAGCGTCTGTGTGATACATAAACGTATGTGTGATTCATAAATTGTCTGTGTCATACATAAAACGTCTGTGCAATACATAAAGTGTCTTTGTGATACATAAAGCGACTGTGTGATACATATAGTGTGTGTCATACATAAAGCGTCTGTGCGATACATAAAGTGTCTTTGTGATACATAAAGCGCCTGTGTGATACATAAAGTGTTGGTTTGACAAATAAAGCATCTGTGTGAAACATTAAACGTCTGTGTTATATAAAAAGCGCCTGTGTGATACATAAAGCGTCTGAGCGATACATAAAACGTCTGAGCGATACATAAAGTGCCTGTGTGTTACATAAAGCGTCTGTGTGTTAAAAAAGCATCTGTGTTAAACGTAAAGCGTCTGTGTGAAACATAAAAAGTCTGTGTTATACATTATGCGCCGGTGTTATACATAAAGCGTCTGTGTTATACATTAAGCGTCTGTGTTATACATAAAGCGTCTGTGTTATACATTAAGCGTCTGTGTTTTACATTAAGCGTCTGTGTTATACATTAAGCGCCGGTGTTATACATTAAGCGTCTGTGTTATACATAAAGCGTCTGTGTTATACATAATGCGTCTGTGTTATACATTAAGCGTCTGTGTTATACATTAAGCGCCGGTGTTATACATAAAGCGCCGGTGTTATACTTAAAGCGTCTGTGTGATACATAAGAGAGTGTGTTATATATAAAGCGTCTGTGTTATACATTAAGCGCCGGTGTTATATATAAATTGTCTGTGTGATACATAAGAGAGTGTGTTATATATAAAGCGTCCGTGTTATACATTAAGCGCCGGTGTTATACATAAATCGTCTGTGCGATACATAAAAATTCTGTGTTATACATAAAGTGTCTGTGTTATACATAAAGCGTATGTGTGTTACATAAAGCGTATGTGTGTTACATAAAGCGCCGGTGTTATATATAAATTGTCTGTGCGATGCATAAAGCGTCAGTGTTTTACATTAAGCGTCTGTGTTATACATTAAGCGCCGGTGTTATACATTAAGCGTCTGTGTTATACATAAAGCGCCGGTGTTATACTTAAAGCGTCTGTGTTATACATTTTGCGCCGGTGTTATACATAAAGCGTCTGTGTTATACATTAAGCGTCTGTGTTCTGCATTAAGCGTCTGTGTTATACATTAAGCGTCTGTATTATACATAAAGCGTCTGTGTTATACATAAAGCGTCTGTGTTATACATTAAGCGTCTGTGTTATACATTAAGCGTCTGTATTATACATAAAGCGTCTGTGTTATACATTAAGCGTCTGCGTGATACATTAAGCGCCGGTGTTATACATAAAGCGCCGGTGTTATATATAAATTGTCTGTGTGATACATAAGCGAGTGTGTTATATATAAAGCGTCTGTGTTAAACATTAAGCGCCGGTGTTATACATATATCGTCTGTGCGATACATAAAAATTCTGTGTTATACATAAAGTGTCTGTGTTATACATAAAGCGTATGTGTGTTACATAAAGCGCCGGTGTTATATATAAATTGTCTGTGCGATACATAAAGCATCTGTGTTATATATAAAGCGGCTGTGTGATACACAAAGCGTCTGTGTTATACATAAAGTGTCTGTGTTATATATAAAGCGTCTGTGTTTTATATAAAGCGTCTTTGTGATGCATTAAGCGTCTGTGTTATACATTAAGCGTCTGTGTGATACATTAAGCGTCTGCGTGATACATTAAACGTCTGTGTGATACATTAAGCGTCTGCGTGATACATTAAGCGTCTGTGTTATACATAAAGCGTCTGCGTGATACATTAAGCGTCTGTGTTATACATAAATCGTCTGCGTGATACATTAAGCGTTTGTGTTATACATAAATCGTCTGTGTGATACATAAATCGTCTACGTGATACATTAAGCGTCTGTGTGATACATAAATCGTCTGCGTGATACTATAGACGTCTGTGTTATACATAAAGCGTCTGTGTGATACATAAAGCGTCTGTGTGATACATAAAGCGTCTGTGTGATACATAAAGCGTCTGTGATACATATGCTTGACGTGTTCGATTATTGTTTACTGGCAGTTTACATGCCACGGATCTCGTTTTCACAGGGGATTTCATTTATGTGGATTATTTGGTATCATTATCCCTATATTTTTTCACCAATGAATTTTAGCTCGTCCGTGTTACCTTAACAGTTATATCCGTTGAGTCAGTCCCTCTAACCAACGTAAAGACTTTTTTAAAATTCTGAAATCACTGACTTTTATGAAGTATAATCAAATTTCCTATGTCATAATGTGTCATAACTACCTAACATTAATCTTGTTGAATATTGTTCCAGAAGTACTTCCTAATGCAATATCAGATTGATGAAACTCGCCTCGAAGTTTTCAGTTGACCACTCCAGGTGCTTGACTAAATAAAACAGTCTTTTGTTAATTGTATTTAAAAGAAAACTAAGGTATCATCCTGTGAATATGATACATTACCGATGAACTGTGACTGGGTAGATTCTAGTAAATAAAAAGGGAACATATCTTACCAATATGGTGCATGTGATTAATTGCCCGTGTCACGTAGATTGGTCCAAATAAATAACGCGATGTACATTCATTACTGCACCAGGATTCGGCCGAAACTGACTCTTCACCAGGTGGAATTTCAAGATACTCTGATCCAACTTGCAGAACTGTGGCATCGTGTAACCTTCGATTAGGGGTATAATACAGCTTTAATCCGGAACTATCCGTGTAGTCCGAGCGACGCTCTGGGTTGTTCCAGTGATACTAATAAAATATAAATACCATAACTGAAAGGAGTTGGGAAGTGTAAGGAAAGAAATCCACATGAAAACTGAGTTAAAGGGACACTATCATGCCACACGTAAATATAGTTCTATATGAGTCACTACACAACCACAGTCCTATATCCGTCACTACACCACCACAGTTCTATATCCGTCAACACACCACCACAGTTCTATATCAGTCACAACACCACCATAGTTCTATATCAGTCACCATACCACCACAGTTCTATATCAGTCACAACACCACCATAGTTCTATATCAGTCACCATACCACCACAGTTCTATACCCGTCAACATACCACCACAGTTCTATATCAGTCACAACACCACCATAGTTCTATATCAGTCACCATACCACCACAGTTCTATATCCCTCAACACACCACCACAGTTCTATATCAGTCAACACACCACCACATTTCTATATCCGTCACCACACCGCCACAGTTCTATATCTGTCACCACACCACCACAGTCCTATATCCGTCACTACACCACCACAGTTCTATATCCGTCACTACACCACCACAGTTCTATATCAGTCACTACACCACCACAGTTCTGTATCCGTCACCACACCTCCACAGTTCTATATCTGTCACCACACCACCACAGTCCTATATCCGTCACTACACCACCACAGTTCTGTATCCGTCACCACACCTCCACAGTTCTATATCCGTCACTACACCACCACAGTTCTATATTAGTCATCACACCACCAAAGTTCTATATCCGTCACCAACCATCACAGTTCTATATCCGTCACCACACCTCCACAGTTCAATATCCGTCACCACACCTCCACACTTCTATATCCGTTACCACACCACCATAGTTCTATACCTGTCACCACACCACCATAGTTCTATATCAGTCACCATACCACCACAGTTCTATATCCCTCAACACACCACCACAGTTCTATATCAGTCAACACACCACCACAGTTCTATACCCGTCAACACACCACCACAGTTCTATACCCGTCAACACACCACCACATTTCTATATCCGTCACCACACCGCCACAGTTCTATATCTGTCACCACACCACCACAGTCCTATATCCGTCACTACACCACCACAGTTCTATATCCGTCACTACACCACCACAGTTCTATATCCGTCAACACACCACCACAGTTCTATATCAGTCACAACACCACCATAGTTCTATATCAGTCACCATACCACCACAGTTCTATATCAGTCACAACACCACCATAGTTCTATATCAGTCACCATACCACCACAGTTCTATACCCGTCAACATACCACCACAGTTCTATATCAGTCACAACACCACCATAGTTCTATATCAGTCACCATACCACCACAGTTCTATATCCCTCAACACACCACCACAGTTCTATATCAGTCAACACACCACCACATTTCTATATCCGTCACCACACCGCCACAGTTCTATATCTGTCACCACACCACCACAGTCCTATATCCGTCACTACACCACCACAGTTCTATATCCGTCACTACACCACCACAGTTCTATATCAGTCACTACACCACCACAGTTCTGTATCCGTCACCACACCTCCACAGTTCTATATCTGTCACCACACCACCACAGTCCTATATCCGTCACTACACCACCACAGTTCTGTATCCGTCACCACACCACCACAGTCCTATATCCGTCACTACACCACCACAGTTCTATATCCGTCACTACACCACCACAGTTCTATATTAGTCATCACACCACCAAAGTTCTATATCCGTCACCACACCGCAACAGTTCTATATCTGTCACCACACCACCACAGTCCTATATCCGTCACCACACCTCCACACTTCTATATCCGTTACCACACCACCACAGTTCTATATCCATCACTACACCACCACAGTTCTGTATCCGTCACCACACCATCACAGTTCTATATCCGTCACCACACCTCCACAGTTCTATATCCGTCACCACACCTCCACACTTCTATATCCGTCACCACACCACCACAGTTCTGTACCTGTCACCACACCACCACAGTTCTATACCAGTCACTACAACACCACAGTTCTATACCTGTCACCACACAACCACAATTCTATATCCGTCACCACACCACCACAGTTCTATATCAGTCACTACACCACCACAGTTCTATATCCATCACTACACCTCCACAGTTCTATATCAGTCACCATACCATCACAGTTCTATATCCGTCACCACACCACCACAGTTCTGTATCCGTCACCACACCACCACAGTTCTATATCCGTCACCACACCACCACAGTTCTATATCAGTCACTACACCACCACAGTTCTGTATCCATCACTACACCTCCACAGTTCTATATCAGTCAACACACCACCACAGTTCTATATTAGTCATAACACCACCAAAGTTCTATATCCGTCACCAACCATCACAGTTCTATATCCGTCACCACACCTCCACAGTTCTATATCCGTCACCACACCTCCACACTTCTATATCCGTCACCACACTACCACAGTTCTATACCTGTCACCACACCACCACAGTTCTATACCAGTCACTACAACACCACAGTTCTATACCTGTCACCACACAACCACAATTCTATATCCGTCACCACACCACCACGGTTCTATATCATTCACCACACCACCACAGTTCTATATCAGTCACTACACCACCACAGTTCTATATCCATCACTACACCTCCACAGTTCTATATCAGTCACCATACCATCACAGTTCTATATCCGTCACCACACCACCACAGTTCTATATCAGTCACCACACCACCACAGTCCTATATCCGTCACTACACCACCACAGTTCTATATCAGTCAACACACCACCACAGTCCTATATCAGTCACCACACCACCACAGTCCTATATCCGTCACTACACCACCACAGTTCTATATCCATCACTACACCACCACAGTTCTGTATCCGTCACCACACCACCACAGTTCTATATCCGTCACCACACCTCCACAGTTCTATATCCGTCACCACACCTCCACACTTCTATATCCGTCACCACACCACCACAGTTCTATACCTGTCACCACACCACCACAGTTCTATACCAGTCACTACAACACCACAGTTCTATACCTGTCACCACACAACCACAATTCTATATCCGTCACCACACCACCACAGTTCTATATCAGTCACTACACCACCACAGTTCTATATCCATCACTACACCTCCACAGTTCTATATCAGTCACCATACCATCACAGTTCTATATCCGTCACCACACCACCACAGTTCTGTATCCGTCACCACACCACCACAGTTCTATATCCGTCACCACACCACCACAGTTCTATATCAGTCACTACACCACCACAGTTCTATATCCATCACTACACCTCCACAGTTCTTTATCAGTCACCATACCATCACAGTTCTATATCCGTCACCACACCACCACAGTTCTGTATCCGTCACCACACCACCACAGTTCTATATCCGTCACCACACCACCACAGTTCTATATCAGTCACTACACCACCACAGTTCTGTATCCATCACTACACCTCCACAGTTCTATATCAGTCAACACACCACCACAGTTCTATATTAGTCATAACACCACCAAAGTTCTATATCCGTCACCAACCATCACAGTTCTATATCCGTCACCACACCTCCACAGTTCTATATCCGTCACCACACCTCCACACTTCTATATCCGTCACCACACTACCACAGTTCTATACCTGTCACCACACCACCACAGTTCTATACCAGTCACTACAACACCACAGTTCTATACCTGTCACCACACAACCACAATTCTATATCCGTCACCACACCACCACGGTTCTATATCATTCACCACACCACCACAGTTCTATACCCGTCAACACACCACCACAGTTCTATACCCGTCAACACACCAACACAGTTCTATATCAGTCACCACACCACCACAGTTCTACACCCGTCACCACACCACCACAGTTCTATATCTGTCACCACACCACCACAGTTCTATACCCGTCACTACAACACCACAGTTCGTTACCCGTCACCACACCACCACAGTTCTATACCCGTCACCACACCACCACAGTTCTATATCCGTCACCACACCACCATAGATCTATACCCGTCAACACTCCCCCACAGTTCTATATCCGTCACCACAACACAACACTTTAGTAGCTTAGTTAGTATAATTCACATACATGTACACTTGTTAGCATTTCAAATTTAAGACACAATTTTTATATTCTCAGAAATTTCCTGCTTTCTGTATCGACTTGAGAGAGACATGTTGCAATTTTCTTTACCTGCAATATCGCTTTCTTAAATCCATGCGTTCCTACCCGAATACCCGCAGTCTTATGGTAACAAGAACCACTGGACCCGACTCCCCAGCCAGAAATAAGTGTAGCGAACTGTTTGAATGGATACTTTGAACAGGGCTGAGGTATGCCATCAACATCCGCTGTAATGTGAAAATTTAGGTAATAAAAAAACTAACGTTCTTCTTAATATATGTGTAATTTATATCTGCTACAATTAAACGTTTTATAAATCCAGGTGACTATTTATGTAATTCAGCGTTTTGATTAAGAGCATTAGCGCTGTTGACAGTGACGTCAGTGTGACGAAAAAGGTGCCAACAGCGAGGAGTGAGATAGGGAGTACGTGTTACACTCTGACAGATCTCAATTTCCTAGGAATATCTTATTTTAAAAAAAATATTTATGCTTGCGTTGAAGTGACAAGACTAATGATGCTGATCTGAATTAAAAATTAAATCCGCAGATTTGTGATCAATTCCATATTGATTTACCCACCTGAATCGTCCATGGCGTACATGATAATGTGATGTATGACGTCAACATTGTCTAGGACTGGTTCGACAGCTATCAGGTGATAGTCGTCGTCTGAAGGCAGGTCAATCAACAGGCATAGATAAGTTGTTACTGAGGCTGGTACGACAGTCTCGGGTAACCTTACTGTGAAGTTCCTCGTGCCTGAAATGTGAATTTGGTCGGCAGTATTAAAATTAATTCAGAATCATCTCCCAAAAAGCTTTTTTTTTGTACCTTTGGTTACAATATTTACAACAACAGGGTTTCTTAATCGACCACAAAAGAGTGAAAAAGTCTCTTTGAACAGATGTCAATATCACAGGCTTCATTCTGCAAACCACGCGTCCATGTTTACAAATAAATGCCAACATGTAGATAAACTTATCAAATTTCTACCGTGTAATGCATATACCTACAATAAAAAGGAAATTGAGATTTTATCTTGTTTGATAGAGTTAATGAAATACTTTTTCATGTGTTGTCTCGGGGAAAGTGAGTGGTGTTTATTTATTTGTTAATGACATAAGTCACGCCGTCAATGTACAACAGACACACAGATGAATAACATCTTCCAATAAAGATACACTAGTTAATGTTAGTGAATTAAACAGCATTCTAAAGCTGTTTCCACCGTCTAGGACTCGTCAGTGATGTTAAGGGACTGAATTGTGAAACATCTGGGTGGACTGAGGAAAATTAAAATTGATCCTTGTTTCGTTTATGTAATTTATTTCATACGTAGGATTCGTGATCTCATAATCTAGAAGGAAAAAAATTAATAATAATGTTTTCCAGGGATTAAATGGCGACAAAATACGCATGTCAAATCGGCTACTCTCTTAGCACGGAAACACAATGTACGAAATCTCCGCTTTACTCACACTCTTTATTTAATTATCAATATTTTATTTCTGAAAGCACCTACATGTACATGTATATCTCTATATATCCATTATCTCACATTGATCAATAACGTATAATGATTTCGCACCGATGCATTATTTTGCTTGTCTTCAATACGAAAGAAGGTGTGTTTGGTTACTTAGTTACGGCACTGACCTTCTTCTAGCAGAGCATCACATTGCAGATTTCCGACGTCACATTTGACCCAGGTGTTAGCCGCTTGACAGGTGGGATCTGAGTGTGGGGTGCAAACTCCTATCAATTAAGAAAAAATAACATGTCCTTAAATGGTACATCGCCCGGAATTTTTTTAACGAGGTGCTTATGAAATTAAATGAAACCAAACTATGAATTTGGAAACGTTATGGTTTGGGGTAATTCTTCACGGATATATGTTCTGTACAATATCAAAGAAGACGCATACATTCGCACCTGGATGACTTAAACCAAGTGTGACCGCTGCAGCACGTCCTTTTGTCCACACACAATCTGGGTCTCCTAATTCCTCTCCGTTTGTTTTTCCGTCTCCGTCAGAGTCCATCTGACACAGGTCTTTATTCCACTTCTGCAACACAACCAGTAATTATTGGAATTCTTTTCAACGATAATGAAACCATTTGTTGGATCAAGTTTTAATATGAGCATCAAAAGATTTTTTGGAATGTTTCCCTGAAATACCAAAATTCCCAAGAATTTATAAAAAAAAGACAACCAGGAGTTTTAATGATTGGACTCATAACACGTTTAAGATATTTGCGAATTTAAAAGACTGTAAAACTAAATTCACACGTTCGTTAAGCGGTAATAGGGGGAAATGTCAGGAAAAACGAGAAAACTGGTAAATTTTGAATCCACCGTGTCTCCCACACACCTAGTGTCGTACCCCTTTCTTTAGTCTGGCCTAACACTATTTGTTGATTGAAACTTCTTCCAATCAGCTTAGTGTTAGCTTTTGAAATCAGAATATGGGGATAGATATAAACCGTGAAATAGCTATATTTTCCATTCTAAAGTGAAAGTGAGTCTAGTTAAACCTGTAATTTTTGAATTGGATATTTTTCATGATCGCCCATATACTCATGATTCGCAGATGGGTTGTCATGGCGATAATTCTGACGTAAACATAAACAATGGCGGCCATGTTTGTGACGTATCCGGGTAAGATCTTTCCAATATTGAGATTAATTGAACATGACTTCGCGAACTTGATCACGATACCAAGTAAGATAGCATTCCATCGAGGTATTCTTAACTGTTTTCGATGGATTTCACCAAAGCATAGCTTGGAGTACTTACCATATTTTAAACAGATACGAAGTATGAAATATGTTAAGTGTATGTTACAATTACATATATAATAGCTGCACCTTACAAATTCAAATAAGATAGAGTAGAGTCTGACAATGAATGTAACTGCATCATACAGCTGTTTCGTTCTTCTAGTATCTTCGGTGATGCCGATGACCTGAATTTTAAACCAAGGAGGCGACTGACGAAAATCCATTAATCAAAAAGAATGTCAAAATGTAGATGGAGTTTTCCAATAGTCCCATGATACATGTAGCAGATGTCATTATATATTTCAATGCGTCCGCTAGGATTCGAATTCGGAACCCCTGGCTTACTAATCTGTCGCACAACTGATCGAGCGAAAGAGAAGTTCTCACAACTCGAACAGTATATTGCGGCTAGTATTTTACCAGAGTAGCTTAGAGTTATTTTTGTAAATTTCAAATCACTGATAATTTTACAAGAACCTACATGTATCTGTTATGAATCATGTCACTATTCGAAACGTGACATGTAGCTTACGGCAAACATCGGAGAATAATTCTAAAAGTAATTAGTACATCATAAATCGGTATAAAAAGTGACGATTGTCGTGTATAATTTATCCCATTCAATGTATTACCTTTTTACTATCATTCACCCATGTAACCCTACTAAAGTATAAGTTCATCTTAATACTTTTAAATTAATTTAAGTATATTGGAAATTAACGTACCATTCCAGCTTTCCTGAAGTCCTCACCGAAAGGATTTATACTACCTCCTCCGAGCGGATTCATATGTCCGACACCTCGCCAGATATGGTTTATCTTACACGGATGGGGTACAATATCACCGTTAGGAATCTCATCTTGAAAAAAGCGGTATCCCCATGCTGTAGACACACACAACACAGTGACCAGGAAACGCATTCTACAACAGAGAACAATGATTGTAACACGATTGTGTGTGTTTTTTATGAACTGTTGATGGAAAAATTGTTTATGTAGTGTACACCACAGGGACTAGACTCGAATTCCCAACCCCCGGGCCATTTACATGTATCGTATAGTTGTAGTTTTGTAACTCCCGGCAGCGGAAAACTGAACTTTTTTTTCAGTTGTATTTATTGATATTGTAGATGCCATCGATTTTAGTAACATAACCTGTAAGAGAAATATGTTATTTTTCCAATGAGTGTTTGATTAACTAGATTGGCCAAGTATTGACCAAGTTATTAACTGACGAATTCGGCAATATATGTAGAAATTGCCTTGTAGACATTTCCCTGTCCGTTTGAAACACCCTTTCGTTTCTAAAGGGTACCTCAATAGTTATGCCAAAATCGCAAAAATCTATGCTTGTGGCGGTATATAGTACACACGAACTTGTCCACACGGCGTGTTCTTTGTTGTCCCTCATTTACATCACGGCGTTCAGTTTCTTGAACATAAACCGCCAAGTTTCCTTTAATGTCGCCATTCATCGGTGTACGTCGTGGCCGGTCTCGGGCCGGGTCCCAAAACTAAGTCTAATTTTACAATAAATGATTTATACCTCAAGAACGAAAAATCAAATGAATTTCCAGTTAAAAAAATCTATTGTTTTCAAATAGTTTCAAATAGTTTGAATAAATTGATTTCAATTGAGTGCTACGTTCAAATTTAGTCAAAAATGCAAATAACAGAGATGCTAAACATACGTCTCTGATATAAACAAATTAGAAAATGTAATGAATTCTTTCAAAATGTAAGATTTTAAAGATATTGGTATATTTATTCCATCATTATTGATAATATGTTTTCTTATGTATTGAAAAAAATAAAAGCATTTTCATTATTGACATCTACTCTGATACAAATCTTATCATAATTTTTTTTATGTCCTTTGCGTTTGAGATATTTCCTTGTTTTGTTTTTCTTTGAAACATTTTTCTTAAATTTCATTGAAATAGGGACAAATTTTTCCATTGTACGGATGAAGTAGTATCTATTTGTTGTTTACCTTGTTCTTATTTGGAAACGTGACCAAGGCTTACATGGCTGATGTCGTCGGTGAAGCAGAAGACGCTTACTCTTCCGGAACACCCGGTCTTATTATCCTTTTAATTTTCATATGTAATTACTGTCAAAGACATTAATGATAAATTGTATCATTAAATGCCCTTGAACCGGCTTGTTGATTTTTCATTACGTTTCCCTTAAAAGTATACATGTTCACAGGATTTCCTTTACTATGTAGAAATATCTACTGTTATTATGTAATGTTTCTCTACTAAAAATAAGGTGATATAATAAGTTCAAAATACATTGTATTATCAATTTGAAGGAAAATAACAAACTTTTTATGTTTTTAATTATTAGCGAAAAAATAGTAAGATCGATATTTATTTTCTCTTTTTCTAACCTACTAATACTATTATCGTACAGCTTTTATCTCAGTTTCCAATCCATGATTGTATATGAATGACCATGTTTGATATGAATTGAAAATATTGATAAATGAATTCCCAGTGAAACGCACTGTTCGTTTTGTTGAACAACAATACCTCACGATCAGAAATAGCATTGCCGTTTAATACGTTTCCTTTGATAAGGTTGAAGACTTCCACAAAAATGTGTCATTTTGTTTAAAAAAAATATTTTAAAATCTTTTGCAGGATTTTAGCGAGAATAAATCGATAATTTCCTATCGTTAAGATGCCTGTTTCTTGTAAGTTGGCTTCATAACATAAACTACAGGATGCATCATCTAATTTAAAATTAACACTTGGATCTTGGAAAAATTCTGCACATGGTTTATGTAAATTTACGTCTCCCTGAAAATATGAACGTAATCGATACCGAGTCGAAAAGCTAAACAGACAAATATTAACTGAACTAGGCATTATAAGCTTTCTCTGTTAACCTTGACCATTCAAAAAAAAAATCTCTTTTTAAACTGATAGTATTCTTCCTACGATGTTACATACTGATAACACAGAAGTGAAAAAAAACTGCAAACGTTGGAAAGATTTACAGTTATAAATTAAAAACCATTTATACTTCAGTGTTGAAGTTGTGGATAGACCCAAACAAATCAATGCAGACAATACAGTAAATTAATAGCGGATTTTGAAGCAAAATCCACATATTTCTAACAGAACAACAGCCTACCTTACATCGAAGTCGAGTTCATACTGCTAGTATCACATGTAAATGATAACATATCATCCCATTGGTTAGAAAACACTTACCTAATACCATTAAACTTAAAGTTTCAATCCCATTAGATACCATAGGAACCTAACCAGCCTGCGGTAAACGTCAATTTAGATTTACTCCGAGCTATACACTATTGCACAAGCTGGTCTAGAGGTTACAACAAAAGGTATAGGAGTCGTGCTCTAGACGCCTACGGATGATGGAAACACATACTATATCTTTATCTACACATACTATATATTTATCTACACATCTTTATCTACACGAACTATATCTTAATCTAAGGCGATGTTGGACATAACTTTCTTATATATGATAAGAAGCGCGAATGTTAACCTCTGATGTAGATCTGCTTTTAAACCATGACCGGTCCATTGCCTACATGTTGCATTATTAAGTGCAATCAACTGTATTCAATTACTCTAAAAGGTTAGAGTTGAATGGTAGGTGGACAAGACGTGGCATGTAAGCATGGACAGAAATACGAAGTTTCGGAATCATATGCGCTGATAACAATATTTAAGTTAGTACAGAACCTGAGGACATTTGCTTTGTCCATGTTCATCACAACGTTGAAAATTTAAGATCCTTGTCATACTTAGCATTGCAAAATTGAGGTCGTTGTTCGTGACATTTGCATCGTCCTTGTCCATCTCCGCGCTGAATGTTTAAAATCGACGTTTCTGATCTTCGCATCTTGTTCATATCTGTTCAGAGTTCCTTGTGTGGAATTCTCTCTTCAAGTGTTCACTGTGTTCTTGGTTTACTTATCTAATATCTGTGGTGTAATTCGACAGAAATAGTTTATGATGTATTTATCAATGTAACATTCTCTCATTCTCTCTGTTTCTTAGTCTGATCAGTAATGATCAATATGGACATTTGCTGTTAAATGTTGATAATTCACCGTTCAGAATGTAGAATTACTGTTCAGTATTATCGTTATGTTATTTGTCCCTACTCGCATAATATTATCGAGAATACTGAGAAGAACATGACACAGCGAACCTCATATCGTACAACGGAATGGAATACAAACAAAATTTTAATAAATTTTGCTATGTTCTTCATATTTCTTTCAAAACTGTTTTTTTCATAAGAAGTTGTCATCCATCCAAGAAATCGTAATATTCGATAAAAGCCCTTGAATTATCTACGTCATTTGAGCATCGAAGGATTAAGGTTATTCATATCTAGGAAGGAAATATTCACAATAAGGGATTTTAACTGATCCCATACATCATATTTCCAAGTGAAATGTCGTTTGCTGTGAACGCAAGTCATGTCCTTGATTTTAATTTCAGTGGAATTTAAAGACTTGGCAAGGTCTTTGTGACTGGTTTTGAAAAGGACTTGGGTAATTTCAGCCTCGTATGAAACCAAAAAACGTCAGTCAAGAGAGGGGCAGAGTTTGTTACCATGAATATGCCAATAGCCTGTTGAAAGATCTTATCATCAAATTCGACGAAGACTTTAAGGGATATTGACGAATATCTGGAAATAACATGAAGTTAAAATGTAACATGGAATAAAACGCCCTATAGTTAGGTTAAGAGTCTGTCACTAATGTTAACGTAAGCGAGTAAAAGGACCTTGTCATCATGTATATACAGCTCTTTATTTAGAATCACGTTCCCCAACAAGAGTAGCATGTCATAAATACTAGTCAACTTCACCAGTTGGGGAAACAAATTCATGTTCAAGGTTATAATACGACGACGAAAGGGTGTCAGCCACTTCAATGAAATAAATAAGCATTTCAACAAGTGACAGATAAGAATGCTTTATGTAAAAGAATTATTATCAATATGCATTCTTTACATAGAATAGAATATTTACATCATTAGCATACATAAAGACCGCACTTACAATCATTAAGGAATATTTTAATGGAAGAGTCAGACCTTCGCAGGCGAATATCATATTGCGCGCTCTAGTGAAATCAATCCAATTAAGGCTACATAATGAAATTTTATAGACCATGATATAGCACAGCTGCATTGTTCTTAGACCATCCAGCAACGACAGGGTGTTATACAACCCTTCTGTAACTCAGCAAACACATACTCAAAGTCGATGAAAACATCTAATGAGAATAAGACCAGGTGTTCCAGAAGGTTAAGTGTCTTTTGCTACATCAACGGAACCCGCCGCATAAACAACGGAACATTCATTTAAATTTTTGGGGGTATATATAATAGAATAGTCAATAAATCTTTTGTTATTCAAAAACAAGATGTCAACAATTTACATATAACTGAAACTGAAGGATTCTGTAAGATATGTGTGATCTGTTTTGATAAACTCTTCGATAAGACCCACCCCGAATGAAAAGACAAACATGGAAACTTTTTTCGTGAAAGGTTTGATTTCAGACTACCAAAGTTATTTCCAAACACAAAATTCTCTCCTTATCAATATCTTATCTCGTTCTGTTTTCAGACACGGCGGTAAACTCCTTTTTGTTAGAATTGCAGATGTTTTAACTGCATTTTGTATACGTCAAATGCTAAAATTCAAAATTAATAAGTTATTTGCATTAATACGCAAAGTACGTTTTAGAAAAAATATAGCGAGTAATAAGGGGAGGTTTGATAAATTACTAAAGGAGCTCATTAACTTACCACTAATAAAAAGCTATACTATCACTTTATAATTGGCGATATGAATATTGCCAAAAATTATTTTCAGAATTATTCCTCAAAAAGGGTACCGTAATCTTAATACAC